GAATTGATAAATGAAATATTGTTAATATATAGATAAGATAAAATGTGTGGTCTGATAAATGTCCACTTGGAGGACGCTTTTATTTCTGAATCATAATTTAAGAGGTAGTATAGTTAGTATAGTTGTTTCAAGGGCATTGTTTGCCACTTTCTAGCTATGTTACCTTGGACAAGTAAACATTGCTACCCTAATTTGTAATGAAGATGATACATACTTATCTTAGTTTGATTAGCTGATTAAATGAATTTATGTGAACTGTTGGGAGATAAACTCACACAAACACCTACTTGGGTGGTGATGATAATGATGATGATTTCCTTCACTGCTCTTCTCTTACCACTCTAGTGTAAAAGGCTAAGGAAATGTATGTATATTTCATTTTCTTCTCTACTAGATATACCCTGAATGCTGACCAATGAAAGACTTTAAGAAACATGTAGACTGATACTGTTACAGATGTATCATTTGGATCTTCTGCTCTCTCTGAATTTCTTTTGTAGTTTTCTCTCATCAGTTTCCTTTTCCAGTTCCCACAATGGCTATTCAACTTGACCCTCTCGTTTCTCATCCTAAGCAGATACCAAGGGGCTCCTCCTTATAAACAAATGATATATGACATTGACAATTTATGACTAAATATTTGAGTGCACAACTTGAACAGATATTCTTACATATACTATCCTTTTATTGAAACCAGTGTAGCTGTCTACTGCAGACTTGAGAATTTTTCCAGATATTCCACTTACAAATTATGATAATGCATCATTGCTGGCTTGTCATTATCATCCTCAGTTCAGAGGTGAAAAAATTCAGGCTCAGAAGGGTTTGGTAGTGCCTTCCCAGGTGGCAAGACAGATCCTTGAGATTTAATTCCAGATTTCTCTTAACACTATTCTCTTCTGATTCCCAGAGAGCATCACATAAGAAGCATCCCACATCCAAAATGATCTTTATGTCTTACCTTTGTCTTCTGAAAAAGTGGCACCTCTCATCCTGTCAATATTTTCCATTGATTATTGATCACTGCTCTTCACTCCATTTCCTCTTGCTTCCCACAGGGTTTTTTTTTTTTCTTAATAAATTATCTTCTTATATTTTTTTTAAATTTTATTTTTAGTTTCAAATATACAGTACATTGGTTAGACATTTATGTTGTTATGATATGATTCCCTGACATTTTTTAAAAAAATAATTCACCCATTGGCTCCTTTCACATAGCCTTAAAATGTGTTCCAATTTAGTCTCATTGACTTAAATTTTATTATGTGAGGAGACAAAAATCTTAAAAAATATTTTAAGCTATTTTTTATGATTGTTCCTCATTCTTAACCAGGCTTCAGATCTTGAAAACCTGATTTCTGTTCTCATCATCCACTAACTCAGTTCAGCTACAGTGCTCATTGACTAACATACACTGGTTAGTACTTATCTCATTTGAACTGTCTCAAAATTGACATTCTTGACCTCTCATTCTTCACACTCTCACATCACTTGATTTAAGTGGCACCTTCTGTCTTTCCTGGTTGTATCTCTTTTTCTTCTCTTAGACTGTTTCTACTCTTATTTTTACTGCTTCCTTTCTTCTCCACAATCCCTTAAATTTTTATGTTATCCATGATTTTCTTCCGATTCTCCCTCTCTACTTCCCTCTCATGTTTGAATACACTAAAATAAATCTCGATTATATAAGCACCCACTGCCCTTTTTTTTTTTTTTTTTAGTTTCAAGTCCATAATACATTGGTTAGACATTTACATAGTGTGTAAAATTATCCCCCTAATTGCTCCTTCTCTCCTTTGTTTTTCCACCTAGCCAATATATTAATGCTAACTGCATTCCCTATGCTGTGCTCCCCATCCCCATGACCATCTATCAACTACTAATTTGTACTTCTTTAACCCTTCACCCCATTCTCCCAGCCCCAACCCCCTCTCCTCTGTCCATCACCAGATTGTCCTCTATATTTGTGAGTCAGTTTTTGATCCTTAGATTCTGCATGTAAGTGGAATCATATGGTATTTATCTTTCTCTGTGCCCACTGGTTTTTTGAAAAGTACATATATATATATATTGATTAATAAAAATTTATTTCAAAGTATTGCTATTGCTGGTACTATTTCATTAGGCAATTCCATAATTACTAGATTAAGTAGTTGTAGTGACATTGTTATTATCTATGATTCTGATCAATTAAAAATTTTAAAGTCTATCTTCCTATGGAAAATACCAGAAACTTTTAATTTAGGACATGAGGTTGTTTAATACCTCACTCCCACTTACATTTCTAGTTATATTTCTGTCAGTGTGCATTCATTCTCCATGTAGTATTTCAGTTCTCCTAAACCCTTGATGCTGTTCAGGACTTGGCCTTATACCATATTTTCTCACAATTAGGAATATTTTTGTTTTTAAAACTTCCATCTCTTTGCATATCCAGTATACTATTTAGGATGCTTAGATATAAAGTAACAATATTGAATTAACTAAAAACAAAAAACAAAAATGAGGGAGAGAAATTTGTCATAAGGATACAGGTATGTTTCATGGAAACCTAGGGCAAGAATAAAGTTTTGACTCAGGAAAGGCCTCGAACCTGTGTGTGTGGTTACTTGTAACAGCAATTTATTATTTTCTTTATGGTTTTGTGGGTTAAGGCTCAGCTGGATATTTTTCTCTTGGGGTCTCTCATGTGATTGTAACTAGCTATTGGCTTGTAAATGCACCTGGGCTGCATGTCTGAGATGGCTCACTCATGTATAGCAGTTGATGCTCACTGTCACCTGAAAGCTCATCCGGGATTGCTTACTGAAACATGTACCCACAGCCTCTCTCTATAGCTTAGGCTCCTTAGGCCATCTCAGATGGCTTCCAAGAGGGAGCATGCTAACAGCAAGTGTTCCAAAAAGGCAGAAGTGGAAGCTGCTAGCCCATTTCAAGGCTTTTCTCTTAGCTGGCAGAACATTACTTTTGCCCTATTCTGTTAATCAAGGCCATCAAAGGGCCAACCTAGATTTAAAGAGATGAAGAAATAAACTCTACATCTTAGTGGTGATAAGAGGAGCATGAGGTATGGAAATTTGTTGCAGCCACCTTTGAAAAATACCATCTACTTCAGCCTATGATTGAAAACCATGAATATTCTTGTTTCTACCTCTCTTCTTAAGCATCTATATCTTTCTTCTCTCTTCGGTCATGGCCTTTTGCTATTCCTCAGCTGACACAGTAACGTATGGACTTTATAAGCACATTCTCTTAGCATATGTGACACAGTTCCTAGCACTCACAGAGTTGGACTAGACTTGCTCCTGTCAGTTTAGAGAGAGTCTAATGGACTTAACTGAGCACAAGCATTGTCCACGTTTTAATCATTCATGATTTGTGGTTGGCCAGGGTTATATGGCAGATAAATGGTGGTTATTGACCCACCTTTTTGAGAAGCTAAACATTTTTCACCTGAAACATCATAGCCATCAACCCCCTAAAACATCTGCTATTCTCAGCAATGCTTACTAATTATTCAGAGCTCTATTTTAACATCATCTCTCCTATGACATTTATTAAATCCCCTGTTCAGCGTTATTCTACCCCATATACTCCCATTGAATTTTATAGATTCTTTAGCATTTCTATCTCTGTGAATAATGTTATTATGCATTTACATAGATCCCTTACTGCCTGCCCCCCTCCGCCTACCAAATTCGATGGTTACTGGAGAATAGTACATAGCACTATTTCTTATGCAAGGTAGTAATTCAACTATACTATGTGTAATTTTGTACTATATATAGTACAAAAGTAATATGCATATGCATGAGTCTTTGCTCTTATTTATTTTATGCCATAATTCTAACTACTTAAATAATTCATAATTACCTTTATGATTGTTAGGATTGATATGCTAAGGAATAATATTAAAGTATATTTACAATCGTGTATCCTAAGTAACTCCTTCACCACTTAACCCATTTTCTTGGGATAATTCTCATTACACATTATGGGGCTGTATTTCTCTGTGGTAACCACTGAACAAACTGGTGTTATTTTCTAATAATATGTGCTGAAATTGACTCTAATTGTTGTAAATTAGGTTACACTAACATGCATTATACAAATTGTTTTTCATGAAAATTTTATGGGCACTCTGGTATAAGTTAATCAATTTTCTCTTCTCTGACTTATTTATGGTAATCTAACAATGAATGAATTTTAAATCAGAATGAATTGACTACTAGCTGATTTTTGTAGATCTGGCAGAATGAAATGAATAATTTATTGTTTTGGTCTCTCTACACCACAGCATTTGGCCTACTCCTGTAACTGACTCAGAAGAGTTTAAGTTAAATACAGACATATTTTTGAATAGCACTCGATCAAAAATTTCTTTATTCAATAAAGAAAATATTGAAATATAGTTATTTAAAGTTTAAAAATCAGTCTCTATAAGAAGATGTTAAGCATGTAGGAAACAAAAAGGAAGGCCAATTGAGGCATTTACTTTCTCTTTTCTATTTCCATAGTTTCCCTGAAATTTAACTTAAACATAGTACAGAATGACCAAGTACAGTTCACTATTAAGGACTATTGTCCACATGCAACTTTCTCATATCTTATCTCTGTCACAGTTAACTTTTTTATAAAGGTTAACTTCTTAGATTTGGTCAGATTTGAGGGTAAATTCAAAGGTAACAGTATAGGTTTTAAAAATTATACACACACACACACACACAATATAATATACATATATTTCCTACTGAAAATGATATCTGGAATAGCTTGTTCATTATTACTGAGTCAAAAGGATAATTTCTTTTTCATAGTAACTCCATTAGGAAAGAAACAAGTCATTTCATTTTTGATAACTTTTAGTAAGTAAAAACTATTATCATTTTAAAAGAGGCTATATTGTAATAATGTTTTCTGTGAATTCCATCTTCTTCGAAAGTGAGTTCTTTGTGATAATTTACAGAGCATGTTGACTAATAATGCTGTCCTCTCAACAGAAAATTCAATCGGATTTGACAAGTCATGAGATCAGTTTAGAAGAAATGAAGAAACACAACCAGGGAAAGGAGGCTGCCCAAAGGGTGTTATCCCAAATTGATGTGGCACAGGTACATATTGCATAAACTAAGGAACTTGTTTTAGTTGGGCATTAAAACATAGTCAGTCTATGTTAGACGACTTGATTATTGGCAAAACTGGGATCGAGGCTATTATTTGAAAACTACAATATGATATATAAATGATACAGACATTTTGGGTTGTGCATTTTAAGGATAAAATAGATTATAAATTACTTTTTATTTAGTATCATATTAAGAACAATTACTGAATTTTTCTCTCAAATGCACATATTCTCTATGCTGGAAAAATGAGGGAAAATGATTGTTTTAGTTTTTATTTGTATTCTTGTTTATCTTCAGGAATAAAGGATACTCTATTAATAAAATTTGAGTGGTTATTGTATGCAAGGCAGTTAAATTGGTGCTTTCTTACATTGTCTTTACAGAAAAGATTGCAAGATGTTTCCATGAAGTTTCGATTATTCCAGAAACCAGCCAATTTTGAGCAGCGTCTACAGGAAAGTAAAATGATCTTAGATGAAGTGAAGATGCATTTGCCTGCTTTGGAAACGAAGAGCGTTGAACAGGAAGTAGTACAGTCACAGTTAAATCACTGTGTGGTATGTATTTCTGGTGACATACACAGCTACCCCTTAACTTTCCTTATTAAGATGTATTTGATGATCTCTTTTATAATAGAATTTTTTTTTTCAGTTAACTATAGAATTATATAATTTTAAGATTAAGAACAAAAGTTAGCACAGGTGTTTTGAGAGACAAGAAGTTTTACTGAAATAGTAGCCATTTAATACCTCTTCTATAGGTGTCTTTTTTGATTCTATAATTTTCTAAGGACTCTGCAGAATATAAAAATAAGTCTCCTTTGTTTAATGCTTATGATACTTTGAATATATTTTTAAATGGTTATTTAATTCTTGTGATATTTCAAATATATCTTTAAATGGAAATACTGAAAAGAAATATAGTAAATTCTCATCATCATCAATAGATTCTGTAACTTAACAGGCTAATTGATACAAACAAGAATTAAGTTCCTACATCATCTCATTAACATTATAACAAAAATGCCACCACACCACAAAGATAGACTAAAAAAGCATAAAAGAATCATTAGTCCATAGCATAAGTCTTTACCAGACTTTGGAATTTCGAGCAGTGTCCTTTGTTGCAATTATTGGAAATTCACCAGGTCAGATGATTCCTCTGACAGCATAAAGCTGAGTTATGAGGGCATTTTATATAATAATATGTAAATATTATTATAATTCTATGGGTACTATGGACTATTAAAGCAGAATCACATAAAATAAAAATACTGAATGTTATTATTAACATTAAAGGGAAAAAAATTTATTTAGTACTTTCTGTTTTATGTATTGTTTCTACATCTACTCCATAACATAAATGAAAAAAAGACCTTTTAGGTGCATTTCAGGCATATGATTATGAATGGGAATCTTTCTTTTGAATGAAAACATTTTAATATTTTTGTGAGAAATGAAGTATTTAATACCATTTATTCATAATACAGGCTGCACTTTAGTGACATAATTATTATAAATAGTCTCACCCCAAAAGTAATTTTGAATATAATGATATGTAGTTATTAGCTGATATTAGATGAGTAACATTAAGAATATATGGGAACATATATCACCTTAAATATTACAAAAAGAATTAAAGGCAAAATGAACCAAATACACTGTCACCATGACTAAATATATTCGAAAAGAGAGCTTTTCATTCTATTCTAGGAACAGGTCTCTAATAGTACCTCATAAAACTTGTCTGCTAGTAAATATGAGCTGAGAACAGCCCTACCTTCACCCTGACTCAGTGCAGAGGAAACAGTTTAAAGTACTTGCTCAATTTGTTTCTGGTTCTTTTTTCAATGTCAGGACCAATTCAAGGAGTCTTTCCATAAAGAGATCTTTTTCTTACAACTTTTATATTTTGTCAGCACTTAAGATGCTCTATTGCATATACTATAATTGTGGTCATTGCCTTCAAGAAATTTTTTTTTCTGTTAAAAATGTCATACCAGCATGAACACAAATAAATATAAAGAATATTTTCCTTCCTTAGTGATAAATATTTTATCTGCTTTTTGAATGACATGATGTTAATGACTAACACTCCTTTGGATAAGCTTGCATCATAAAGGTAAATCATTAAGATTTTTTTAATTTAAAGAGTAAATCATTTGGAAATATCTCTGATTCCAAAATTCACAGAATGGATTCCTAGCGGATACTTTTGTGAAATGATATGTTTGTTCTTTGTAGTTGTGATGTACCTGTGAGTTTTAAGTAACATTTTTCTATGTTGATCAGCCCCATTAAGAAAATAAATTTGGACCTCATTAACGTATTTAAACTTTCCTTCTTTCCTTCCATATGATTTAATACATTGATATTATGATCTGGAAATTTAGTCCTACTGAGATGTAAGTGCCATGAGGTCAATGGGGAACTTGTTTGTTCTGGCTGTCACTCTCTAGTGACTCTAATACTGTCTGGTACATAGTAAGCATTCAGTGAATGAGTAAATGAATTTTTCCAAACTAAAACTAGAATTATATAACTGACATTTAAAATATTGTATACCAACCAAAATTAAGTTTACAAAATAAAAAATATAAGTCATATAATTTTTAAAAATGATCTTCATAATCTGGATCGAAAAACTAAATGTATGATATACTCTTACTTTAGTAAGATTACAAACTATTCATGTCTGTATGTGTATATATAATTATAAATAGAAACTCATTCAACAGAAAATGCAAAAGCTGCATATTGATCACAGCTGCAAAACACTGCTCCTTTAAAACTGTAAACATGAAATAGTAACTAAGATGATCTCTGCCCTTATTTCTTTTTATAAATAATAGTGTTAGACACTGTTGCTTATTATTATGTTTTGTTTTATGTTTTAACTTAGAACTTGTATAAAAGTCTGAGTGAAGTGAAGTCTGAAGTGGAGATGGTGATCAAAACTGGACGTCAGATTGTGCAGAAGAAACAGACGGAAAACCCTAAAGAGCTTGACGAAAGAATAACAGCTTTGAAATTGCATTATAATGAGCTGGGAGCAAAGGTGCATGCATGCTGAAACCATAAGCAGTGGCTACTTCCCACTTTCCTTATAAATTATAAAACAAGAGACAGCAATTATGTACATTTAATGACTTAGAAAGTCTTAATAATTTTATTTCAATAGATAGATTAGATATATACATACATACATAGTACATAGAGATAGAGACAGAGATAGACTCATGTGCAATTCTTATTAAGAAATAATAATTAATCAAGAGCATCTTATTTCAGTCTACATTAAAAAGTATGTAAAGCTTGGGGAGATTGTTATTGGTCCATCAGATGGTTCTAAAAGGGTTTCTTTGCTCTACACTTGCCTTTTTTTCATTTTATAAATTTACTTGTGATGACTCAAAGGCTGGTAAATTTATTATAAACTTATGTACCTCCTTATATTTAGGTACAACGGAATTGATATGTTCCACATAGACCAGATAAGAGTTGGCACATTCCACAGAAATGACTTCCCTATATGATAAGCATTGTATCATTCACTACCTTTGACTAATAAGATAGCATGGATAGCCAATTAAGTCCTATGGCTCTGTGATTATTTTAATATTTTTCTTCTGATAAGGGTCTAATGCCCACTCCTCTCTCACTGAAAAAGGTGTTTAAATCTCTCCATCTCTTTTCGAAACTGTGGAATGTCTAGTGTAGTTATCTCACTTCCCCCAAATCAAATATTCTTTATAGATTTAGAGCTTTGATGATTCAAGATAATGATAAATCATTTAAAAAGTAGTCATAAAAACATGAATCATCAATAGCAAGTACTGACCTGGCCTTTTCTAGTCCAGTATTTTACATTAAGCTACGTAAAAGATGTTTTGGTACTCAGCTAAGATTCAAGTGACATTTGGCACTTAGTAATATCATTTAAAGTAAAATGAAATATTTCTAAGAAATTATACTTAGCTTTAATAGCATGACAGAATATAGTAGAAAATTTGGGCAGAAATTTATTTTTGAAATGAAGATTTAGAAGTACTAATGATAAAGGGAATATTTATAAGTATTTTATAAAAATTCTATGATATTCCTTAAGAAAAAAATGTCTACATTTAAATCTTCCAAGCTCCTTCAACAACAGTGATTTTGTTTAATAAAATCAAAGGAAACAAAGGTTATCTTAATATAGTATTTATTTTATATAAAAAAGAGAAAACCTTCTGTTTTAATCATCTTCAGAATTTATATGGTTGTACTTGCTCAATTCAATATATTACCTTTTTACATTAGTCAACTCAGGGTGCCATGACAAAATACCATGGACTTAAACCAGGGGTCCCCAATCCCCAAGCCAAGAACCAGTACTGGTTTGTGGCCTGTTAGGAACCAGGCCACACAGCAGGAGGTGAGCAGCGGTCCAGCAAACGAAGCTTCTTCTGTATTTGCAGCTGCTCCGCAGTGCTAGCATCACTGCCTCAGCTCCACCTCAGATCATCAGGCATTAGAATCTCATAGGAGCGCTGTTCCCTGGTGCCTAAAAGATTGGGGACCCCTGATTTAAACAACAACAAAAAAATGTATTTATCACAGTTCTGGAGGCTAGGAACTTCAGAAATATCAAGCTTAATGAGTATTGTTCCTAGTTTGCAGACAGCTGCCTTCTCATCGCATTCTC